ACACGGGTAAAACTAACGTAACACACGAGTAAAACTAACTTGACACACGGTAAAATACATGACACACGGGTAAAACTAACATAACACACTGGTAAAACTAACATGACTCACGGTAAAACTAACGTAACACACGGGTAAACTAAAAAAATATCAGTGACGGTTAGGAATCGCATTTTCACTACTTGCCGTGGTGACTTAATAATAATAATAATAATAATAATAATAATAATAATAATAATAATAATAATAATAATAATAATAATAATAATAATAATAATACTTAACGATTTATTGAAAAGTTACAGGAGCCAAAGGGTTGTACCTAGTGAATGAGGGTCTTGACTAGTATGATAGGTGTGCGTCCAGTGAGTCGTAACGAACGATAATGAACTGCAAGTTCATATATCAAATTAAGAAGTGTTCAACTATACTTTGAACACTCAACAAAAAACACAACTTTATCAATGTTTGACAATCCGCCGTCATAAAACCAGTACTTTTTCGTGAATCATTTTAATATATACGTTACAGAGACTGAAGCATATGAAGCTACCAGATGTAACATTTATAAAAAACAAATTACTGTCGTCATCAGATACCAGTAGGAAAACTTAGAGTGTCATTAATTATATCCTGAAGCTGCCCCAGACGCAGCTTTTACGATATATGATGTAACTGTATCAGAACCCTTTCAATGCCAATCAATGTTAGTAGACGGTGAAATCAGTTGTTTTGTCATCCATTATGGTAAGTGAACTAATGGATATTATAAAAACGTCCAGAGATGCAGCAGCAGGCGATGACAGCATGCCAATGACCATCATTAAGAACGTGGTCCCCTTACTTTCTGTTCTCTATGTATTTGCAACTTCTCTTTCATCAGCGGTAACTTTCCAAATAAACAGCAAATTGTTAACGTTCATCCTGAAAAAGAAATACCAACTGCGGAAGAAATACCGGAGCTTAAGACATGATGTAGTTAACAAAGAGCCCTAAATGAGGTGAATCAGGAAATTAGATCAGAAATGACACTTCGAGATGAAACTAGCTCGATATATTAAGACCCATTATTTTATGTGTATGTCAGAGTAAAATGAAAACCAATGATACGGATGGTCTTGAAGGACGAAAGCACCGTGGCCCTTGAGAATGACAGACATATAATAAAGGCCAATAAATGAACATTTTGCATCAGTATTCACGCAAGAGACGATGGATAACATGCCAGTACCTAAGAGAATGTGTACTTCGAGAGGAAAACTAATTAAGAGATAGCAATTGCAGACGATATCATAAATAAATAAATAATTAAATAAATAAATAAATAAATAAATAAATAAATAGCTAGAGTAAAAGAATTCAAAGTCCCTGGTGACCAAGGTGATAACGGAGGTAGGAACGAAATTTGCACTCCACTAAAGGCCGGTCCACACGATCGAGCAGTGCCCGGCAGGCACGTGCTAAATGCCCTTTTCGGGCAAAATTCGGGTAAACCAGCGGAGTCCCGTTCCCGTAGTTGAGCGAAATCATGGTCCGCCTGCCTGGTGGTTTGCTGCCGGATATTGAGCGACGACTCTGCCAGACAAACGAGGTTGAACCTGGACTACATACCTCGGGGTGTATGTAATTATTATGTG